CAAAAAAAAGGGATTGCATCCACTCACTCACTTCCCAGCACTGCCACATGGATGTGAGGTAGAGGGGTCAGTGGCATGACGTCATACCCGTGCAGGACTAAAGAGTTGATAAACACTCATGGCAGCAGGTGAAGAGAGTCGAGCTGAGAGTCACTGGCCTATGGCTATCATTTCATTATTCTGAATCCCAGCCTCCCTGTGGACATGACACCACTCACCTCACACTGGCACACATCCCTAAACCTGTGCTCTAGAGCTCTGCAAACAACATACACTACATGCCACTTCATAAAACACTTACACTTCTATTAATGTAAAGAGCGTTTCATCCTGTTCAAATCTGGAGAGGTGTTAAAAACAGAGGAGGTCGCTTTTTATTACTTTTAATTTGACTCTTAATAAAATCTTAATGAATCAGACTAAGATATTGATATTCGCTACAGGAATATATGGATCTGGGACATAAAGACCTTCGTTAATCAAGGTTATTGGCATGTTGCCACTCCTATAAGTTGAACATTGCACCGTATTGACAAGTAATATTGTCTAATAGCCTAAAGTGTTCTCCATTCTGCCAATATTTTGTGATGTACATTTACGATTACGTTATTATTTGCTTAATGTAAAAATGTTTGCTTCTATCTAAAGTATAACACTAGGTGTTACACAGATATATTCATTTGAGCATCCGATCAACTCAACACATGGCTCAACCAATGGTGTGAGTTTGGGGGTGGGACTATCTGTTTCATCGACCAATGGCAGACAGGGGGAGTGCTTAGGAACAATATCTACTCTCTCCAAACAAAACACTGCCTGCTTTACATTTCTAGTCTTTTTTTATATTAACTACACTAGAGGAAAAAATACACAACAGAACAATGCATCGTTCACAGGTACTACTAAAACAAAAACTAAAATCAGTCAGGAACCCTACATCAATTTTCTTTAAAAAAGTAACATAATACAGGCATAAGTTGTTTTGCATACGCTTCAAACAGCTTTGGCAATACTCTAGTTAAAGCTGTCAAGCTCAAATTGGGTTACAAAGTCAGACTCAGCAAAACATCCCAGAAGAAAACCCCACCCACTAATCGCTAACGATTAAAATGAGCTTAATTAGATGCTTCATATTGAGTGGGAGGCAGCTAAGAGCCCACATATTGAAAATATCCGCCTAAAATTCCTTGACCTAAGATGATTTTTCCACATTAAAAGTGTGCTTGTCTGCCTGCAGGCTTCCATCCTCCTCTGGCTGGAAATCTGTGGCCAGCACCTGTTCAGTGGGATGCAAACGTGACATCAATTTCAGATTATACTGAATGGTGCTTGAAGACACACTCAGCTACACTTTCAATCTCACCACGAGTGTAGCCTACACTTTTCAAAACACATTCAACTCACTCCTGTGATGTAAACATCACTTACAAGATCCTGTGTTGTGTTGTGTTGTGTTGTGTTACCCTCTCTACAATAGCTTGACTATGCGAGAAAATGAGAGGTCTGAAAAATACAGAGGTGTAAAAATGGAAATAATATGATACTAATATGTCATTAATACTGTAGTTAAAACCATGTAATATTTAATCATTGCAGTTTAACAAAATTAGTTAGCAGTTAATTGCTACAAAAAATGAGTTCAATCTGTGCCTCCTTGTTCTTGAAAACAACAACAAAACAAATCAAATATTGGGTTACAGTTCGGAACTTGTAATGGAAGTAATTGGAGCCAATCCGTAAACATAAAAGTACTCACTTTATAGATTAAATAATACACAAGAATTAATCGAAGAGCTTCACATCATTTTTGCTTGCATTATTTTTATATGATTGTAATATTTATTAATATTATATTTTATTCGTATTTTTAGTGTTCATTTAAATTTTAGTTTAAGTTTTAGTATTTTTGTTATGTTTTTAATGTTTAATTTGTATTTTAATAGTTCTATTTAGCTTTAATTTATTTTTTTATTTTAGTTTAAGTTGTACTGCAACTTTTAATGTTAGCTTTTATGTCAGTTTCAAATGCAAAATTTCAAATGTCCATTTTAGGTTTTTCCATCTAATATATATATATATATATATATATATATATA